ATTCACATTGGATATGATGTGAATAATATCATGGATATTCAAGCTCACTTGCTTCATTGCCACTTTCTGATTTACATTTTCACTTAAAAAGTTTTCTAACATCGATTAATGGATGTTATGACGTGGTTCATTCACAGAACTTAGGCAAACAATTTGCAATTGACCAACCGGGATGGAAGTAACTGGTGGGGTTCATAAGCCAGTTTGGTTCATTCAATTGCACGATAGTTTCACAATTTCATGTCACAACACCAACTCAGTCACTTAGTGTCGCAATCATCATGTGGTGAGACTGCTACACATTCAGAGGTGAGGGAGGAGGAAGTGATGGAAAGTGGGATTGAGTTAGTGAGGTACAGTGGAGGACTGCATTGTTTATTTGAAGTTACCACACCTGATCTGATCTTCACAGATAATTTGATCTACCTGGTGTCAGAGTCTTGAACTTTGGCACGATATATGCAATTCTACTGGCTCATTAACTATGTCCCTCTCCTCACCAATTTATGCAGTCTACTTTACTACCTCACTTGTGCTGTAATGTAACCAGATATGATTAGCGTCTCTCTGGGTGATCCACTGGCTAGAAGATACTGAACGCATTGAGAAATTTCTGCTCAAATATACATAAGTACTGAATAATTCCCTTGTGTTCCTCTAATCTATTTCACATATGTAAACACAAACAGAGAAATATATGTCGTCGTGTTTGTTGAAGGAACCTATATGAATAATCACGTATTTTTAGTAGTGGCTAATTTGAAATTGCGTTAATTTCTATTTGATGATGTTTCATTGGGAAAATTGAGACTGTAGTGCTGAAATATTGGCATTTCCACTTCCTTAGTAGATCATTCATTGTAGACCTTTTTGAAGCACTATCGCTATCAAACCTAGTAAGATCTGGAGATTTGTTGTTCTTGTTTGACAACACTTTTGTTTTGCTTTAGCTGCGTCAGAGGAAACAAGCGCGCATGATGCAACTGCCTCTCCTGCCGCAGAGGCCAGACTCGACGGTGAGTCAGTTATTTAGTTTGCGGTTTAGTATGAAGGGAGTGATATGATGTCACTTCCATACTTCCATTTGCGCACTTCTTGGTTGAATGAAACGTGCGTTGACATTGGATGTGAGGATTGGATTGCCTGTGAACAATGTTTTTTGAAATCACCTAGACGGTACTTCTGTCGAATCGAAAGCGTCTCATGGAAACAATGAAAGTGCTGATCAAGAGTTGGGTAGAAATGCAGACAAGTTTAAGAGCATTTTAAATATTTTATTTATCGACACTGTGGTTTGGTATTGATTAAAGGAGACCAGTAATGTTTCATCCAGTGGGACTTACAATCACGAAATGTGCTGCAAGTTGAAATGGTTTTTCTAGATTGAGGTGTGTTGGTTCTGATTGTTTGACTTTCTTGACTGATGTCTTCAAACCGCGTTGAGGCAGAGAGAGAGGGATTAAGGGAGGTGGATGTGACCAATTGGTGAAATTGTGGGTGGGGGGGGGGCCGGGAGGGGCTGAAGGAGGGTGAGATCGAGGTAGCATACCAAGTATTGTCTTGTAGAAGGTACCAAAGAGGCCTCTGGTTAGGTGCATTACATGTGTTTAACAAGAAGTTGAGGTGGCCTATTTCCCTCCTATGTCACATTGCTTTTCGATTTAAAAATCGATTCAGCTCTCATAATCGAAATATCATTCTCTTTGATATCTGCCAGCCAAAGGATATGTTTTTACTTCCGAAAGGAAGCAGTTAAATGATGTCTGGAATTGATGTGATCTAATGAAAGTGACCAATCATTTCAATTAGTGAGATTATAAAACTTTCGTAGTTGGTTAAATGAAGGTAAAAGTGGAATGATGGCATAAAAGTAAGATAGTGAAAATGCTTTAGATGCTGCAAGTAATGGAGGGAACATCAGTGAAGCCGGGCAAAACGAAGAGAGGCCCACAGGAGCGGACGGCTATGCTGCATCTCGCTCACTTATCAGAGATGACGGACTCGGTGGTGAGTCAGATATTAAGATGCCATTTCTTTACTCACGTTGGCCTACTGCATGTTGGGGCTAAAATGTGCAGAAACCTTGCATGGAACGAGTTAAATTCTTTGGAACTAGCCTTCTTGGTATTCTCGATGAAGCTGCATTGGATTGGAGAGTCTCACTTGTAAACGGAGAAAGTGCAGTCAAAGTGACTAGGGAATGTGCAGACTAGTCATATAGGCTCCAACTATTTCACACATATATATTCACCGTCTCACCGGTATGGTCATATGCTCACATGTGATTAGCACCTCTCTAAGTGTTCCACTGCCGAAATGCTACTGATCTCATTGAGAAATGTCTGCTCAAATGAACATAAGCATCGACCATTCTGTTTGTGTTCCTCCAAA